TCTTTGAACCATATTGTTAGCGGGAGAACCCAACCAATTAATGACTTGAGCAGAAATGGCCAAATAAACCTGCATTAAGAATTCTAATCTTCACACCTGTATGACGCATGCGACTAATCCAACTGAGTCATCTCGGGTGTAGTGCTTGCCGTAAGGGATGAGCTGAAAATATAGGGATCATTCATGGAGACTGTGCATGGGTAAGGTTACCGGTTATTTAATACAGAATACGTTTGTAGCGGAATCTACTCTTCCCATAATGCACGCATAAGGCCAAGTTGTCCGTAGGAGCACTCAAGCAGGTTAAGCAGATATCATTGAAGACCCTAGTGATATTTTACTCTAATATATATTTTAAAACCTAGAGAATGGGTGCGTGGAATATCGTTGAAGTCTCTAAGGTGGCTAGACGGTAACAACCATGACCGTGAATGGGTTGTTAGCACAAGGTGCTTAGATGTCCTCACTATATCTTGGGCGTTCTCAAGTCACATCAAATAAATAAATAAATAGTTTATTCTCAAAAATAAAGAGACACCCCAACTCAGGCATGAACGAAGTTTATAAGAAGTTACGTATCGTGACCATACTTCAGTTTCAATCGTGTGTAGTTGAAAGGATCAAGAACTATAAGTGCAATGGAACAGTGCATGTAGACGGAGAGTATAATATCCTTGCATGTGTCGGGAAAAGTTAAAATATGAGTCTAGTCGACTTGCCAGTATGTAGTTTTCGGCAGTGACGTTATTCAGTGGTGAGTCACACCCGCCACGTCGCAGTGTTGTTAAACAGACATTTGTGTCTTTTTATAGGGAGAACACTTGCCAGGCGAAAACCCACCAGGTCCTGCAACAACGCCGTAAAGCATTTCGAACATTAATATATAACTGGCAAAGCCGCTTAACGAAATAGTTCATCTTCGGCTCTTCGTAGTCACATGGCTTCTAATTTCCTCTGTTAGTGGAACAGATAATTTGATCAGTACCGCCATAATTGTTGAGGCCGGTTGAGGAGGGGTACATCGCGTATAGTCGTCATGTTGTGTGTCCAGGTGAGCAAAAGTTCAAACCTTCTGCTGTCTGCATTTTTCAGATGTATAATGTATGGGAGTGTGAAGATGTGTTCAGCTCTCCATACTGGACAAGTGTTGTGGTGCCTGCATTTGGGTCCTTTTCGTGTTCAGCCATGCTCCATGTAAGTCCTTGTCGTTTGTTACGGATCTCATAGGCGAAAACTGTTCCTCAGTCCAAGCCCAGATCCCCAAGACGTTCCGAACCTTGGAGAAAAGGGAAAGTGAAGGACAACCGGGAGAGAGCCGCAACAAAAGGCGTGGAGCTAAAATTGTTAAAGTCTTTGATGTTGGGACAAAAGCATGTACCCTGTGCAACAATGATTGTGCTGAACGTGCCTTTTGAATATCCTATTAAATCAGTAGTCGTATGGGTAGATTGCTAACGCTTGCGTAGAGCCAAGCGCGTAGGATCAGTAATTAATCCACGAATTTTCGGTTTAGTATGAGCCGAAATTTGCGTGTGGGGAGAGCAAAGAGAGTTAGAACATTGGTGGTGATTGCAAGGTGAATGAACAGCAAGTGGCTAGCGTAATACAATGGGTAGCGCAGAATAAGAAATTGAAAAATATATATGTTGCCGCGAGAAATATCTAAAGGTCAATTGACGGTAAGACAGCGGAAAGATCGGATGCAGATATCCTAAAGGAATAAAGGTAATTAAGCTAAGGAGTGGCTCCTAACACGCACTGGATAATCCTATATGTATGGAGCCTATGACCACTAACTGCGTCTAAACAGCGATGTCGAATTTAAGACGACCGAGAGTTGGTGGCGCTAGGAAAGACTATCAGTGTCCAGATGTGGCCATTCCAATAAGACGGTTGGTCACAAGTGCGTGCCTATAGGGTCACTGAATGCATCCACAAGCTAACGAAGGTAAGTAATACAAACATTCTAGAAGGATGTGTGATGGAGAGCCAAGGAGTGTATCCTAGCAAGTTTAAGACCTGCGCAGCAGGGACATGGAGCCTACAACAAATTGCTCAAAAGTGGTGAGGAAGATAAGAAGAGATAGTGGTGCTAAGGGAGGCAGCATCAGTGGCCAGCAAAGGCGTTGGGATTAAGCCTACTAATTATCAGTGGATACCTATAGTGACATAATAAGTCAACAAATCAGCGAAAGTATGTAATGCAAACAATTTCAATTGAGGAGGCGTTAGAACGCTAAGGAGTTGCTCCTAGCGCGAAGATGTACGCTATCTACAATGACATGCTGCGGCTGAAACGTGGTGAGGTAGGTAATACGAAGAACGGATAATGGTACTAAGTTAGAGTGAGTATCGACGGCTAGGAGTGGCATTGGGGTGAAGTCTTCTAGTTGCTAGTGGATACCTAAAGTGTCTAAGAATAAAGTAACAAACAGCAAATGAAGTTGACGCAGCAGTCCCAACGGATGACGGTTGAAGATAAAAGGGAGTGGATCTTAGCAAGCTCCGTATATGCGCAGAGATGTTTGGAGCGTACGACTACTAGCTGCTTCTAAACAGGGTCTGAATTTAAGACGATCGACAGTTGGTGGCGCTAGGAGCAGCTATCAGTGGCCAGATGTACCCATTCGAATAAGATGCTTATTCATTGGTGTAAATCTACAGTGTCACAGAATGCGTCAGAAGGGCAGCGAAAGTAAGTGATATAGACATTCCGTAATGGGAGAGGGAAGCCAGAGCCAAACAAGTAGGTTAAGTAGTAGGAATATACAGTAAATGGAAGCGCGATTAAAAGAGAATAGTCAACAATGTCGTGATTCATAGGGTAAAAAGTATAAAAAAGAACGGTGTCAGCTTAGCGATTAAGATAAATTTGGGCAACGTCAACTTGTACTTGTGGTCCTGCGCACGCAGGATTCAATATCCGGGGAGCAGCCATTTAACTTGATGCGATTAGCTAGAGACGGATGTTTTGAGCTAGCCGGATGTGGGAGGTTTGAGGGAATGCAGATGCTTTTGGTATCCGGTGGCTGATGCCTAGATGATGGAAGACTTAAGTGTTGGTTGGAGGAAGCAGGCAGCTAGGTATATTTGGAGTCGGGAAGATGATAGTGTGGGAAGGTAAGAAGAAGCGATTATAAGTAGTCTGGTCCAGTCTAAAAACTAGTCTTCAGGACAGTTGATATTCAGTAGTTTGGAAACTTGTGCGACAGAGAGGTACTTGCTAATAGAGAAACGGAACTGGTTTATATTCATAGACGCCCTTTTTGTGAGAGGTAACCTACTCTATACGCGTACGTAGCTGTAGAGGTAGAAGTTGGATCGAATACTACTGCGCTTTCTTGGTAGGATAATAGCGTGGAGTCTATCACGTAGAGGGTACGAAGGGATGTTTGTGTCTGAGCCAGGGGTTTGTTGGCTCCCATTGGGAAGGTTAATAGGCGAGGGTAGGAAAACGAGGTTGGTTTTCAGTCGGCGCAGTCATAACGGGTCGAGCTTAAGTTTGTTGCATCAATCCCGGTAGCTGAGACTTGAGTGCCCCAGTGGGCGTTTTGTGAAGGTACGCTGAACCTTTCCGAGGGCTATTCTGATGCATTTACTTAGGTTGGTGAATACTATAGAGCAGTATACTAGCAGGGGCTGGGCACATGTTTTGTACAGCGCAGTTCTAGATTCTTGTATTGTCATGGTTTTGAGGATGTATCCGATGAGAGAGAGTGCTTTAGCTGCGGAATAAACTACTTGTTCCGCGAAGTTCAGTGAACAGGATTAGTGCGCGCCTAAGTCACGCACTGTTAGGCAGTTTCCTAATGGCGTGCCTTGTAGCGTTAAGGTGTTGGGTGGCATGGTGCATCTGTATGTAAGGACATTGCATTTTGCTGGTGTGAACGCCAAATTCCGTGTGTCGCACCATGCAGCTAGTGCTCTTAAGTCGTATTGTATCTAGGTGAGGAGGCGTGGAAGTTTGACGGATGAAGTAAGAAGAAAATGTTGATATCATCAGCAAAGAGTTGGGGCGTCCCATGACAAAAACCTGGAACACGTCCTTGATCTAGAGCAGGAATAGTTGAGGAACTAAAACGCTTCTTTGCATTACGCCACTTTTGACTGGTGTTGGAAGTGACATAAAGTCTCAAACCATTACTGACTGTAAGCGAGCTGTAATGTATGATGAAACCCAAGTGTGTAGTTTACCGGAGAGGCCGTATGATTCCACCTTCATCAAGAGTTCTGTGCGTGGTACTCTGTCAATGGCTTTGTCATGTCTAGGAAGAGGATAGCTGGTGCCTGCTTATTGCCAATCTGTTGAGTTACATGGTTGAGGCACTCAAATTGTTAGGTCTGACAGAATTTGGACGGTAGAAATCCATGTTGTTGTTGATTGGCGCGGTTACGAGTAAGCAGGAAGGTGAGCATGGTTTCTTTGGCTATTCGTTCCCTCACTCTCGAAGCTATAGACATGTGGCTGATGGGGCGATAGTTTTCCAGGTTCTGCTGACTGCCTTTTTTGTGTTTGCGGTTGACGGTGGCATGTTTCCATGTAGTTGGATAAATCCCGTCAGTCAAGGAAAGCGTGAACAGGTTGAGAAGTAGAACTGGAATGCCCTGGCCACCGACACCAGCAACGCAGAGGGGAGACCATCGGAACCAGGATGTGATGACCATTGGACTGAGCAGATTACTTTAGTGTTAGAACGTAGGGCAAACTTAATGGTGTCGAGTGAGTCATTGGTTTGCCTAGATGGCATAGCTGCTGTGGTTCCATTAGCGTCAGTGAAACATTGCAGAAGTATCCATTGTGGGTCTCACATATTTTTGATGGGTCGCTAATAATGGATGTGGCAAAAGTCTCAGGGAGGAAACAGGCGTAGATTTTTGATTGCTTCTTTGTCTGATTGGTTGACTGAGTGACTTGGTTTTATTGTTGGCTTTAAGGGCAGCACCTTCTTCAGCAACCTTGCCTGATTCTTGCGCAGTTTGCCAGTTGGCTAGGCTTTCGTTCATGCCAACAAGGATGTGGAATTCCTTAGTGTTGGAGTATCGATGGCGCAGTTTTTCATCTCCCTAAGTACACCGTAGGCCTTTGCTGATTCCGCTGTCATTTTTAAGCGGCTGCTGCAAGTGAGTGGGGTGAGCACATCTCGGCAGCTGAAGTGGTTTAGGTATAGGACGTATGCGGCTGCGTCTACATCAGTGGCTAAAAAGAAGTTGTCCCAGTTCACAGATCGGGCTAATAGCACAAAGTTGCCCCAGTTAATGCGGTTGAACATTTGAAACTGTTTGACAGAAGAAGAAGTGGCGCAGTATGGACTAGAAAGTTTGAATATGAGTTTGACCACCTTGTGCTCGCAGCCATGTATATTATCTAGTAGCCCAGCGACTGCATCAGAGACACCTTGCGTAAAGATTAAGTCTAGGGGGTTAGATAGCCTGGAGTGATCCTGAACTTGTTGGGTCCAGTTATTTGCGTGGACTGTGTAAACAAAACCTCTGTATCTGAGTGGGGCAACCTGGTCGTTCAAGGGGATAAGTGGCATATTGAAATCGCCACCCCCTATCTTGTGACGCGGGGGCATTAGGGATATTTCAGTGAAAAGCTTAATGAGTTTATTAATCTTTTCACTAGATGTGTGTTGAGGGTTGTATACGCAAGTGATATGAAGGTCAAGTAGACCTCCTGTCGTCTGGATCCAGATGGAGTCTTCAGGGTCACCTATAGATAACAGTTCGAAATCGGGTGCACCAGAGTCCTCCCGGACATAGATAAGGCCACCGCCACCCCTCCGGTTGTCTTGTCCGTTACAGAATGTGGTGTAGCCAGGGCCGCATAGTAGGCTGTCGAAGTCATTTGAATGGTGCCGCGTTTCTGGGATGAGAACCAGCTGTGGATACGAGAGTAGGATAAATGGGCCAATGCGGTGAACCTTGTGTGTAATAGATCGCAAGTTAATAAGCATCATACCGTATGATTCAACGCAAGGAGAGTTAAAGGAGTTAGATTGTATGAGGTAAGTTGCACAATAGGGTGCAGCTAGCGCAGGGTACATGGAATTGGTAAGAAAAGGTGCAAAAGGTGATATAAGAAGTCGATCCGGAAGTGCTTGAGTAGGTAGCTGATGGTACGCGGCCGCTAATTATGCTGTGGTAATATTATTGACTGCAGAATCTATCCCGTGGGCTGAAGCCAACCGTGGGGGTGTGGTGCAGTGAGCAAATGTGATGTTGGAGGTAACAGAGGGCTGGCGAGAACTCTTTGGGTAATCGGTGAGGTGGGTCGTGTCCTGTTGTATCCCATAAAAGGGGGCCGTGAATGGCATGGCCCGGTTGTAATGCTTGTCATCAGGATATATTTTGTGTTAAGGACAACATATGGTCAGGGAGCGCGGGGTAGTGTTGATGGAGCGGTAGAGACTTTCAGAAGGACGTCGTCCTTGGGAAGGTGCTTTGTTCCCCACTGCTTCGAGAGCTTATGGGGATTGGCAACAGGGTTGTGCACTTGACGTCTGTATGGCATAGCGCTTTTTGTAGGGCCGACTGGGCGAGAACCTACAAGGCGCATGGTCAGTTATTAACGGAATCACTGCGTTGATGCTGCGCGGGGTGCAGATGGTTCCATTTTGCTGTGGTGACTAGTAGAACGTCCTCAGTTTTTGAAAAAACGCGGCATCTGTTATAGTTCTGCGGCTTATTAGCATTGTGGTTAGCCTCTAATAGGTAGGGCTTGCGCAGTGATTGGACGGGTTGTGTATTCAAAGTAGTGGATTTGCGAATCGCAGTGTTGAAGATGCGTGGTATATTATTCACAGGTAGGAATCTTTTATCTTCTTCACGAAGGCCTACAAGTTTTGGATTTCCCTGTGTCTGGTGGGCAACCTATTTCATGTGTTAGGTACACAATCGAGAATTGAGGAAATCTTAGCCACTTCTTAACCCCAAGCGGGGTAATGGCGTGGCCCTTATTTTGGAGTTGAGATTCAGATGCGCTCCTTCATTTAAGGCGAGGGAAAGTACTGTGCAGATTTTTGTAAATTAGCTTAGATAAGATGAAAAGTTGAAGGATAATGGGCTTTGCCAAAGGGACAGAATTTTAAAGTGATCGCCCCTTTGTTGATAGCTCAGAGGTTGCTGCGATGTAGTCAATGTCTTCGTAAAATGCAGCTGAGCTTTTTCAAGCAGTAAACGGTCCGGCTTCCGTAGATTGAAGCATAAGAAGTAGCAAGGTTCCAGGTGTGGACAGAGCTGACTCTTAGAAGGCACTAACTTTGTGTCTGCGGTGGTTATGTAACGGCGATTATGGAAAGCAAATCCCTTTACTCAAGCCACTTGATAATAGACTTGCTCTGAAAAGTTGAGACTCATGGAGTAGCGCAAGGTGAGACCTGTTGCCCTGGCATCCTGTTTGCTAGTAATGCCGGTTATTGTTAGATACCAAGCATGTATAGAAAATTTGTGTGCCACGACGTTAGATTTTTGTACGATTAACGTCATGCTCCAGTGTTTGCACCAAGGTTTTAGGGCTTTAAGATCCGCACAGATATTGGTAATTGTGGATATTCCATTACCCGGCGGGAAGAAGTACACAATTTTTAAGTCATCAGAGAAGATAAAGGGCGACGGTGCTGCACACTCCTGCAGAGATCATTAATATAAATCAGAACTAGGATTGGACCAAGGGTGCTCCCCTGCACCACACCATTGGGGACGGCGGTGGGGTGGATACAGTTAGTTTAATCTTAACAGGCTGCGTACGTCCTATTAGATGAGAACTCAGCCAATCCAATAGAGGACGCCCTGATGCGTAAGCCTTTACCTTATGTACCAGACGCGTGGGTGGTACCCTGTCAAATGCCTTTTGCTTATCAAGGTAAAGAATGACAACTGAAAATTTAGGCATTGGCACCGAAGACTAATTTAAGGAGGTCCAGCTGACAGGTTGCATAAGCCCGAGCACGTAAAGCCCATGCTGTGTTTTATTTAGGTGCTCCTTCACATAAAGGCAACGCTTGGGGCTTTTCTAAGCAACTTCTTCATGGCACGCGAGATAATAGAATTGAGGCTACCAGGATGATAAGTACCAACTTCCTATATGGTTCCCCCTTCTGTCGTATCATAATGTTAGAAGGTTTCCAAGCTGTCGGGTATTAACCTTTCTGCACGGATAAAGTAAAATGTTTCAAAAGAAGACAGAGGATATCTTCACCACCATTCTTAAGTAGACGGGGCAGTTTTCCGACTGGACCAAGGTTTGAGGATGGCCTGATGGTTAAAATCGCAGGACAGACACTATTTATGTCAAAATGTACAGAGGACAAAAGCTGGCTACCGGACAGTGCAGGGCCTGAAAGGAGAAATTAATCTCTGGCTAGCCGAACAACCTCCTCGTGGTGTCAGCTGGGTGGTTCGGGTTTAACCCGTTCCAGCAAATAGTTCGGCGGCAGTGTTCCAGGACGTGATGGGTTTCGCCTGGCATGCGTTCTCCCTATAAAATCACAAATGTCTGCTTATCAACACTGTGACGTGGCTGTCGTGGCTCGCCACAAAATAAAGTCACTGCCTCGTGGATATCTGGATAATCCCTTCCAAACCACGGACACCGATCTTCTACTCGCACATTGATGACAATGTCAAAAACATTGAAGATTGGAGCAGCACAACTACAAGCACAAAATTCACAGCTACCTACACACACACAATGACATACATACACACCCCCTGCACAAAAGCAAACTGCTATGGCAAACGTATCGGAGTTTTGCACATTCTTGATCATGCATCGTTATGTCAAACTGATTATGCTTGTTGAGAATAAAAGATTTATTTATTTATGTAAAGTGTAAGCTGAGGACTTCACGTAAAATGCTTGCTTCACTGGAAGCGTCGTTGCAACTAAGCTTTAGTGTAGCGATTTGTCGTGAACAATTAAGGTTTCGAGAGCGCAGCAGCCAGTTGAGATTCTTAGTGTTGTTCGCATTATTTAGTTCAGCTATTTCTTGTTTGGTTTGCTGCTGTTTTGATCTGGCATAAAGCTGAGTTGCAATCTCATTCGCCCCCATGATGTGCGCAAAATTGGTGATTTTGTTGTAGGATCATCCAGGCTGACTCATTCGGTTGTGCATACTTGGTTGGGTTAAAATCTTAGAGGCTTGTCCCATTAATTGTAGCACAGGAGCTAACGAGTCAAGACAGTAACGTATTTCCACATAAAACAGCTAAGCTGACCGATCCACAGAATCTGACATGAAGCATTCATTCCAAATGCTTGAGCTGACGTGTAGGGCAAAGGTTGTCTAGTTAACGACGTGCATTGGGCGGTATACTACCACTGCGTCTCTTTAGCTAGGTAAGCTTTATGTTACTGTAAGTAAACCGAACAATACACTACGCTGTGTTCAGTACCCGGGAAACCTTGGCCGACTGACACTCGAGTTGATGGGATGCCGAGGTTAACTATTAAGTCAAGTAGATGTTTTGCCCTCACTGAAGCGTATGCTGGTTGCGTGTCTAAATTGATATATGTTAGTAGGCCCGCATACTTCGTTGCTGCAGCAGGTGAAAACCAGTGTAACTCAGGGACGTTGCAATCTCCTGTGGCCTGTATGTAACCGCACGAACGATTTAGTGGCTGCGCAAACGTAGCCATGGGCGCGTCGTCGCCCTTAGTTGGGGTATCAGGTGGTCTATAAACAAACTTAGATAGTACGGTCGATTCCAGAATATCAGTTGCTTCCTACCCTTAATCCATCTCCTCTGCTGCGTTCGGCACTTCAGACTATTTTTCTTGGTAAGCAATTTTAGCATAAATGGCGGACCGGTCCCCTCGTTTATGCAAACTCGATTGCGTAAATAGCTGAGAGTCAGGAAGTGAATAAACCTCCTCGAAAGTATAAGGAGAGAACAAACTTTCCGGAACTAATTATTGCATCAGGATTGGCTAGGACAGACACAGGACGCAGGATATGCATGTTAATATTTAGGGGCTAGCATTTATAAATAAATAAATAAATAAATAATTCTCGACTATGCGAGGCACGCCCATGGAGGCATGATCAGATATGTACAACCGTACAAACATTTTATGGCAACTGTAACAGTGACAGTAGAAAATCGTTCAGATGTCCATGATAAAATAAATAAATAAATAGTTTATTCTCAGTTTCATATAGACACAGCGACTCATGCATGACCATGGTTTAAAAACAGATGTGTATCACGACGATACATCGGGTTCAATCGTGTGTAGTTGAAACGGTGTCGGGAAGAGTTGATAAGTGAGTCTAGTCGACTTGCCAGTATGTAGTTGTGGGCAGTGACTTTATTCAGTGGCGAGTCACATCCGCCACGGCGCAGTGTTGTTAAACAGACATTTGTGGCATATTATATGGAGAACGATTGCCAAGCGAAAACCCACCATGTCCTGCAACGCTGGCGTAAAGCACTCTTAACATTAATCTTGAACTGGCAAAGCCGCTTGCCGACTAGATTTACCTTCAGTTTTTCGCAGAGTAATGGCTTCTAATTTCCTCCGTTAGTTGGACAGGTATTTTGATTGGGGTCGCCATGATTTTTGAGGTCGGTGGGGGAGAGGGACATTGCAAGGTGTGTGCGAGAACCCATGGGGGATAATAGCTTAACGGGTGCAGAAATGAGGCTTTGGTGGCTACTGCGTTACCTACAATCGTTGTAGGAATTGCAAGAGAAGACATTGCGGTAGGTAGTTTGGCGGCGAGGTTTTTGGTGTTGAAAAACGGTCGCGGCCCATCCACACCTGGTCTAAAAATGCGCTGGTTGCAGGATAGGAGTTATTGGGCTATTTGACCTATATATCTGGACCGGGGGCACAAGTCTGAAGGATGCAGTGGATGCGCAGCTACTGGATGCGAGTGAAGTTGAGCGGGGTTGCGTAGGTTGCCAAACGTAGTGCTCACCGTAGTTGAATTGGTTGGGGTGGTTGTGCGTGGTGGCGCTTCACTAGCATCTGGGGTGTAGCTTGGTAGCATCGGTCTTGTTGGGCCGATATACTACTGTTTTAACTTGGTATCATTGCGGA